TTTCTCATCAGGGGCGGCGGAGATAGGGGTGGGCCAACCTTGGCCCTGACCTAGCCCAAATTTAAAAAATGTCTTTTTTTAGTGTAAAAAATTCCGGACAAAACAATTTTCAAAGATATTCTTTGTATCAGTCCAATCCGGCCCAGTGTCCTGGCTCTGCCCCTGTTTATCATGGCAAGACACAACCACTTATCTATGTGACATCAATTTTTTAATGAGTTTTTTCCATTTTCGGTCCCTCGACTATTGTGTCAGTGACACTTTTGGTACTCGACTTTTAATTTTTCCATTTTTAGTCCTTAACTTTGGTGTTAGAGACACTTTTAGTCCTCGACTTCAAAGTGTTCCACATTTAGTCCTTTGATATTATCAAATTGACACTTTTAGTCCTTCCACTATGATTTTGACACAATAAGTGACGGACTAAAAATGTCACTGTTATAATAGTTGGAGGACCAAAAGTGTCACTTTTATGTAAGTCGAAAGACTATAAATGGAAATTTTCAAAGATGTCTAGTATAATAGTTGAGGACTAAAAGTGGAAAAAATCAAAGTCGAGTACCAAAAGTGTCAGTGACATAATAGTCGAAGGACTAAAAGTGGAAAAAACTCATTTTTTAATTAGTGAAATAACTATTGTGTTTCAATTTTTTTTGTTATCTTTGAGTTATTGAAATTTTTATTCTATATCATCCTAAATTTTTTTGATTCAATTTAATTTTTTTATTCATAAATATTTCTATATAGTCTATATTTAAAATGCAATTTCAATTAATTATTCATTAGTTATGAACTATGGGGGTGTTTGGTTAATGGCCTATCAGCCATTTTTTGGCTGATTTCACCACTATTTGGCCTTTTGATCAGATAAACAACTAATAAAAGTGTTTGGTTAATTGGCTTTTTCACTTGACTTTTTGTTCCGAACAGACAAAATTGAAAATGCTGATAAAAGTGGCGTTTAGGAGACGGTTGTTTGAGTATTTAGCCGATATCCCTATTCTACCCAGAGCTCCTCTTCTTCCTGCGTCACTTCTGCTTCTTCCGTCAAAAAGAAAAAAATCATCAACAAGCGATTCATTTTTGCTCCGAGATGCAAACAAAAACAAAGGTAGCTCCTCCCTAATCTGAAGCCTAAACGCAGGTTTTTTTCCTTGGGATCGTTAAATTGGACATAACATCCTAATTCATTTTTCTCCAATTCACTAAAAATTAACAATCTCAAAATACACACATGTATTTAGGAGCAATTAGTATTTAGAAGCAACAAAATAAAAATTCTTCAAAATGGAAGATAAAATACAAAATTGAAGACACCAAGTGCAAACCATGGCTTCTTCCCATAATAAAAAGTCCAAGAAAAGGTTCTGCACACCAGCCTTATGATGTCGAGGAGCAGATCTTGAGTATGGAAGAGATATTTGCTTTACAGGGAATTCTAACCTTTGTGCTAGTTTGTTTTGCTTGTGAGATGCTTTAACAGTGATAGTGGTGAGAATTAAAAGAAACACAATAAGTGGGTAAGTTGGATTTCTTTTACTTTCACAATGGTTTAAAATTTAAAATTTTGGAAAGTGATTTATTACTTGTGTTCATAAATTTTTACATTTTTAAATCGTAAATGAAAAAATGCTTTAAGTACTTGTATAAATATCATTAACAAAAAATAATTGATGTCCTTAAAAGTCATTTAACAAGTTATCAGCCAATTATAAGCAGCCATTTAACCAAACACTATTATATAAACCGCTAATACTATCAGCTAATCAAAACAACCAACAAAATCCGTTGTCATCATCACTATTGTAACCGCCAAACAACGCATTCAAGGATGGAACCCGAAGGACTACCCAACTCTTCGATTCCACGAGTTCGCATCACCTCCCTCATTCCAGTCTATCACCAACCCAAACAAGGAATTTAAAAGCTATACGGAAATGGTGGCTTCCTCGATGAGAGCAGCCACATATTTACGCGGCTCAATACGAGACCTTCTTTGGGAGTTATCGAGCAAATGCAAGAGGCTAGTGGTGGTCAACAACGCCCTGATGATTACGGCTGTGCAGGACGTCGCTTCAATACCAAATGCAGAGGCTTACAACTTCTATGTGGGGGCAGCTTTCCATGACACCTCGCTCGTGTGGGAAGTCGGGCGTAAAGTTCTCCATGTGCCATCTATTCTTTGGAAGTTGTTGGGCAAGATCATTCTTCCGTCTGGGGCTATAATCCCCGATGGTCTCCCGACACCACAGAGCTGCTTTCCACCCGACTTCTAGAAGTTCATTGTGGACCAAAGAAAGAGCAATAACTTCTCCAAGGGGCATCTCTTTGACGCTTGCAGAGCTGTGGATGGTCCGTGTCTAGATCTACTTGCGAGATGCTATAAGATCTTACGGAAAGGGGATGTTTGGGGAATTGGTCTGTTCAACCCGGTAGTCACGCAATCATCCGATCCAGTTCATCTGGGTAGTGAAAGACGTGCTGAGAGGGGCACATGGTAAGATACGTCTGCCCGAAGGATACGAGGAGAGAGTGAAAGGAAGAGGTCTAATTCTCCGGGACTGGGTCCCACAGCTGGAGATACTAGACCATATATCCTTCGACGGGTGGGTTTTTGAGCCATTGCGGGTGGAACTCATGCATGGAAAGCATATGCATGGGAGTGCCTCTAGCTAGGGGTGGGAAAAACTGAACCGAAACCCGGAAACCGACCATGCACCGACCCGAATTATGATCCCGGTCCGGGTTTTTTCTTTTTAACCGGCCCGAATTAAAAAAACCTGGACCGAACCGAAAATTCCGGGCTCATTAACGGGCCTTAAAATCTATAACCCGGCCCGGACCAAAAAAACCTGAAACAATTAGTTTTAATATAAAATTAATATAGTATATGAATATAAATAAAATATTTCCTAATATATGATTATAATCACAGTGGATAAAAAAAGGTTTAGTAACTTTTAGTGACTACAAATATGTTGAATTTGTTTAGCGTAATGATGACCAAGAGAATATATCTATGGCAACTCTAGTAACTTTTTGATTTATAAAATTTATTTCGTAATATTTTTAAGAAACCTATATTATTTATATATGTACATCTTACATAAAATATTAAGATAATTATCTTCTTTAAATTTGAATTGTTGGTGATTTTGAAGACTAATATTTGTGTTATTATTCGCGGTTTGTATTTTTGATTAATTTTATTTGAAAATAAGTGTTAAAATATAAAAGAACAATGACATATTTCACGTCCGGGCTTTAACCGGTCCAACCCGAACCCGGACCGAACCCGGGCTACCAAAAACCCGACTCGGACCGAATATAATGGGCTTTATTCCGGTCCCTAATTTTCATAACCCGAGACCTTCCGGGTAATGTTCGGGTTTAGCAAAAACCCGACCCAGACCGGACCGATCCCACCCCTACCTGCCACGTGGCCGATCCAGTCCGACCAGGTCAGGAATGCCGTTCTGGTCAAACTGGATTGGATGATTGTGTGACTACTGGGTTGAACGGACCGATTCCCCAAACGTTGTCCCGGCCCCTTTTCGTAGGATCTTATAGCATCTCGCGAGTAGGTCTAGACACGGACCCTCCACAGCTCTGCAAGCGTCAAATAGATGCCCCTTGGAGAAGTTATTGCCCTTTCTTTGATCCACAATGAACTTCAATAAGTCAGGTGGAAAGCAGCTCTGTGGAGTCGTGAGACTGTCGGGGATTATAGCGCCAGAAGGAAGAATTATCTTGCCCAACAACTTCCAAAGAATAAATGGCATGTGGAGAACTTTACGCCCGATTTCCACATGAGTCATGGAAAGCTGCCCTTACATAGAAGTTGCTAGCCTCTGCATTTGGTATGAAAGCGACATCCTGCACCGCCGTAATCATTAGGGCGTCATTGACTCATTGACCACCACTAGCCTCTTGTGTTTGCTCGAAAATTTGTATGGAAAGGACTACAATGGACAAAAGAGGTGGAGGAGGGAGGTTCGGAGGGATAGTGTTTCACTATTTCAGAGGCGTGGAATGCTTGGGCCTGCACTGTCAAGGAGCGTAGAGAAAAACAAGGTGAGAATAGTGAGATAAGAAAAATAAACCACTTTTATAGAAAATTCCACCATACAACGCACGAGTTGATTGTGTAATAGGGAGTAATATCATGATAATAACATGTAATACCTACAATGGTAACTGAATATCATTTTTGTAAGTTCATACGACCAATGTTTATGTATAGAAAAATGCTACGCTCACCTTTTGCTTAGATAAAAGTTGAGAGGCATGCTTTCTGTTTATTTATAGAGAAGTGTTAGGCAGTAGGCACACAACAAACTACTTTTAAAGAGAATTTCATCATGCAATGCACGAGTTGAGAGACATGTTTTGTGTTTATTTTATTTCTATATCATACAAGAAATTCATGTTATTTTATTGTTAACAAGGTGAACATACATTGACTAAAATTCATGTTTTATTATTAACATAAAGGTGTTTAAAATGAGAAACGCTGGTTTAGATTTAATGACATCAATTTTTTAATGAGTGAAATAACTACCGTGTTTCAATTTTTTTTGTTATCTTTGAGTTATTGAAATTTTTATTCTATATCATCCTTAAATTTTTATTCAATTTAAAATTTTTATTCATAAATATTTCTATATAGTCTATATTTAAAATGCAATATCAATTAATCATTCATTAATTATGAACTATATCATTTTTACACATTTTTATATCTTCAATTTCATTTTATACCAAAAATATTGTTGATTACTTATCAAACGAACTAATTTTAAAGAGAATTCTATATACCATCTAACACACGAGTTTATTGAGTAGCACGGAGTAATAGCACGATAATGACATATGCTAGGCACACTTTTTGCTTTGATAGAAGTTGAGATGCATGTTTGGTGTTTATTTATATATATATAAGTCTTAAACACATCACACACGCACACCATATGTTTAGACATAAGTTGGGAGGCATGTTTTTTCCCGTAGGCTGCAGGAGATAATTTCTCTGTCGGTTTAATACATGTAAGAATACATGGTGTATAATATGAAAATATGATGTACCCAAAAATATTTATTACTAAAAATTTGAAAAAAGAAAACAGAACATAAAACAGGAATATACATTTCCTAATGAGCTAAGAAATTCGCATATTATTATTACAATTGGTGTTGATATGAACAAATTCTAAGTATTCCGTGTAATATGAGCAATAAAATTGTCCATCTCCACGCGAGAAACGCCCCCGGGCATTACGGCTTGCTTCACGGCTCTGCCCAATTCTGCCGCCTTCTCCCTCAGCTCCTCTCCTTCTCGAGACGCTATCAGCCTCCTCACGGCATTTTGAATCGTCACCGCCAATATTAAATCATCCCTCTGTTCCCAATCTTTGACGGCGATCCCAATCTTCAGAATGTCCGTCAACAGAACGGCATTCCTGGCCTGGTCGAACTGGATCGGCCACGTGGCTAGAGGCACTCCCCTGCATATGCTTTCCATGCATGAGTTCCACCCGCAATGGCTCAAAAACCCACCCGTCGAAGGATGGTCCAGTATCTCCAACTGTGGGACCCAGTCCCGGAGAATTAGGCCTCTTCCTTTCACTCTCTCCTCGTATCCTTCGGGCAGACCTATCTTACCATGTGCCCCTCTCAGCACGTCTTTCACTACCCAGATGAACCTCTGCCCGCTCTGTTCCAACCCTAATGCTAGCTCGTTTAGTTGGTCGTTGGAAAAAATTGTGAGAGTCCCGAAGGAGACGAAAATGACGGACTTTGGAGGCATTTTGTCAAGCCACTCGAGACTATTGTGCCGGTTTGTTGAGTTGCCCGTTTCGGATGATTGCGTGACTACCGGGTTGAACGGACCGATTCCCCAAACTTCCCCTTTCCGTAAGATCTTATAGCATCTCGCGAGTAGGTCTAGATACGGACCCTCCACAGCTCTGCAAGCGTCAAAGAGATGCCCCTTGGAGAAGTTATTGCTCTTTCTTTGGTCCACAATGAACTTCAAGAAGTCGGGTGGAAAGCAGCTCTGTGGAGTCGGGAGACCATCGGGGATTATAGCCCCGGATGGAAGAATGATCTTGCCTAACAACTTCCAAAGAATAGATGGCACGTGGAGAACTTTACGCCCGACTTCCCACACGAGCGAGGCATCATGGAAAGCTGCCCCCACATAGAAGTTGTAAGCCTCTGCATTTGGTATTGAAGCGACGTCCTGCACAGCTGTAATCATTAGGGCGTCGTTGACCACCACTAGCCTCTTGCATTTGCCCGATAACTCCCAAAGAAGGTCTCTTATTGGGCCGCGCAAATATGTGGCTGCTCTCATCGAGGAAGCCACCATTTCCGTATAGCTTTTAAATTCCTTGTTTGGGTTGGTGATAGACTGGAATGAGGGAGGTGATGGGAACTCGTGGAATTGAAGAGTTGGGCAGTCCTTCGGGTTCCATCCTTGAATGCGTTGTTTGGCAGTTACAATATCAACGCTCAAACCCACAAAATAAACAGGCAGATCGTAGGACGCGATGATCCGAGACATATGGACTAGGAGATTGATGTGGCCTTGTGCAGGAAATGGTACCACCACCACTATAACTTGTGTTCCCTTAGACTCCTCATTTTGAGAATCAGTTGGATAGTATTTTGAAGCCATTGTTTGGACTAGGCGTGCAATATTCCAGTGACCCCCCTTTACCTTTCCAAGTGTGTGAGTTTGTGAGATACAGAGTATGCTTTATACTCCATTGATTTGTTAGTGTATACTCAAAGTATATGTTGTGAGAGATCTACCACATTCAGTATGCTTTATGTGTGAGTTATCTACCATCCTCCGAACTATTGAACATCAAGGATGCGTGTACTCAACCAAACCCCAAGCTATCTTTCTGTGAGTGGAAATAAACGGTAAATCTTCTTGCCAATATTCCTGTTTCATTTCTTTGGTAAAAGAATTCGAGGGAGTCTCTTTTGATTAAATACAAGTTTATATGTATTGAATAATATTAGTTTTAATTGTTTTTACTTAGATTCAACTAGGAGAAATAGCTCAAGACATTATTTCTTGACTATGTAGCACTTATATTTGTATCCGTATTCATCAGAAACGTTCTCGTATTAGATATTCTAGGATGTCCGTACTGTACGTTTCCAGAACATATCTGAGATTTATTAAAAGTTTCTATTTTTAATTATTTAAAAAATCAATCACATGTATCATGGCTAATACGTAGTACATATCATGGAAATATTTCTTACAACTTTTAGTCTTTAATTAGGGTATTGTGTTTTTTTTTTATCTTCACTGAGCATTTTATGTCTAAAAACTTTGACTACATCCAGGTTTAATTTTGAAACTATGATAGATTGACATGTTTTTCATTTGGGATTAGTGACTAATTAACTATACTTATATTTGGAAATGTCGCACTTTCAATCCTCCAAATAGTACCCACATTCAAATGTAGTCCCGTACATTTGAGTTTATAATTGTCACCCCTTAATTGTCTGAGTTGTTATAAATGTGGCTCTTGCCGTCAAGTCTGAACTAACACCGTTGACTTTTATAATTTTTGACGTTATAATTGTAAACACGTTAAAAAAATTATTTAAGAAAAATGCACCGAGAATTTCCGTCTCTAAAGTTACACAACTTAACATTATAAAAATGTAGATAAAAAAATCCAATTTTATAGGCAATAAGTATATGACACACACAAAAAAAAACTTTACAAAATAACCAAAAAATGTTTCTTTTTTGTACATATTGTCAAAAAACATTCCGCAGACAATTGTTTCGTTTTTGTGCACAGAGAATAAATGTCTTGCATAGTCTCAACTTTTTTCCCCAATGCCGGATATTTGTTGGTCGACAGGGCCGGTCCTAGAATATCAAAGGCCCTGTGCAAAATTAAATAAAAGGCCCTATATTAAAAAATATATATATTACCTCCGTCTCAATGTTGATGTTAAATCTTTCCTATTCATATTTAATTCATTTTTAATTCAGAATAATTAAAACTTACATATTCAGAAACCACATAAAAATCTCTATAAAATTTAATAAAAAATCTATATCCCAATAAAATGAATTTGTTTGACTCATAAAAGTCAATTTTACAACTCAATTTGGGACTGAATGAGTAATTATATATAACACTTGTAGTGAAAATAATAAACTTAAAAATACAAAAAGTAAGTATAAAATATAATGAAAAACTTATTTTGATTGCTAAGAAAATTATCATAATAAAAGAAATCCAAATTAATAAGAATTGTAACTATAAGAAAATGAAGAAAGTAACTTACAAATGTATATAGGTAGTATAGTAAACTAATAATACAAATAATACCGTTCATGACTTACAAATAAGTGTATACGTAGAGTAATATACTGAATTGTTGATTTCACTAAAGATATTCTATATTTATTCAGACATTGACCTAATTATTTAGCCAACTTGGTAAGTTGGTAAACGACTCAGTACTTTTCGTAACCAACCTGAGTTTGATTCTCCCATGCAGCGGATTTTTTATTTGATTCAGATAGCTAATTAGTTTAACTATTGGGCCTTCCGCCAAATTGGGCCCTGTGCGGCCGCACTGCTTGCAGAGTGCTAGGGCCGGCCCTGTTGGTCGACACTACCAGTACCAGACAATATGATTTGAAAGCGCACGATATATTTGGCACACTCAATTTTGTGTGTAGACATTTATTGTCAATCAATTTTTAAACTTATTGTTTATAAAAAAAGGTTTTTTCGATTGAATCTTTTTCTCTGTGGTGTAATTTAAGGTCAAAATTATTATTTTTTTTAAAACAATTTTTTTTTTACTGTGAAGCTATAATCTTAAGTGTGTCAAAATTATAAAAATTAATGGTGTTAGTCCATAAATGCTTTTAACAAATGGAGATGTGTTCTTTTTGCAGGCAGAGCAATAATAATTGAGATGGATTCGAGCTTTTTATTTCGTTACAAGACAGATTTGAGTGTTTTTGTCGGAAACAGGGTTTAATGCTTTTGGTTTAATGCGCCAAATATAAATTTGGCGCATTAGTCTCATGTGATTTAGAAATTGCATCAAATCTCTCTGTGTTATAATTAATCAAACACAAAACCCCCTCCAAGAACAAATTTAATTTCCAAAAGAATGAAAAATGATCAGTTTTTTGTACAATTTAGAACTTTTGACAAAGTTATATGCATATTCAACCATATTATTAAGAAAAGTGATTGTAAAATTGTAAAATTCGTTCGGGGGGAGGGGGGATTTTGCGCATGATTAATTATGATGGTACCATGGATCACAACCATGGCCTAATTACAAAATTATAGATCAAGCCCTCAACGGGATTAGCCCTCAACGTGATCAAGCCCTTAACGGGATCAGCCCATAAATGTGATTAATATTAATTAGCCAATTTGCCTAATTAGGAATCAGACCCACAAAAGGAACCCACAATCAGGCCAGGCTAGACAGCAGACCTCAAGCCTGGGCGGAGTTCTAGTGAGGTCGGAATCTTTCTAGGGCTTACATGACAGGCTATCAGGCATGCATAGCTAACGGGCAGTATGCAGGAATAAACGGAAGAGACGTGGATTTAAAGGAGATAATCATTGCACAACGTCCAAGACGTTACAAGAGTCTATTTCGACTAATGAACTTTTAATGTATTAATTTCCTCCTAGAACACTAGTTCCTAAAGTTTATATGCAATGTTCTAAAAGGCGCTAGGCGCTAGTCGGGCGCCAGCCCAGGCCTAGCGCCTAGGCGGGAGCCTAGTCGGGGACTAGTCGGAGACATAGAAATTTCATTTTTATCTATATTTTTGCATAAATATGATAAGTAATATTGTATTTTTGTGTGTATAAAATACATATATACATATTCATTAACAAACATGAAAGATAAAATTATCACATTTAATCATACGTAGTATAAGATAACTAATCACTTAACTTCATTATGTTATACATATAAATAATGATAAAATTTAGGAATGTATACAAACGTGTATAATTTTATCTTAATTTACAACTTCATTTCTTTATAACCATGGCTAAAGTTAAAATCCGTATATCACTTCGAAAATTAAAAAGTAAAGTAATGTTCGGCGAATCTAGACGGTCTAGGCGGCCGATTAGGCGCTCTAGGCGGGCAACTAGGCGCCATAGGAGGATGACTAATTCACCTAGGCGGCAAACCAATTAGTCAGAGCGCCTAGTCGAAAACCTGGGCACCCGGCCACCGCCTAGCGCCTAGGCGGGGACTAGTCGGGCGCCTAGAACCATTTTTAGAATAGAGTCTATATGTAGTTCCTGTATATTTCCCATGAAGGGTCCGAATTCCGGATTAATAATACTGCCTTACGATGCCTAAATTTCATCTGCTCTTGTAGATATAGCTCTCGTAGTTGGATTAAACTCCATCAAATTATAACATGAGGGGTTTGTCACATTATTTAAATTATAGGGTACTAATGTGCCAAATTTATATTTCATCACGAGCGGAAACAATTGTCGAAATAAACATAGAAATTCCAATCATGCACAAACTTTACACGTAGCATATTATGATGGCACTTTCAAATTAAATAATAAAAAAAACTCAGACAATACGTCAATACCAATGTAGATATAATAATATAAAAATGTCAAAAACATAAATATCTAAAGCACGTTTATAAGTTTTGGGAAATATGAGACTAATAAAAATTGTAAAAAGGTATTCAAGATTACATAAATGTAAAAATTATGAAAGTTGATGATGTAAATGTTTAGTAAAATTCTAAAATATGTAAACTAAAATAAAAAATATAAAAACGAAAAAAAGAACAAGAAACTTGATACGCTAAAAATCTAAAAACTAAAATTTATAAACAAATACGTAGTATACAAAATAAGATAAAAATGATTTGAAACTATAAAAAATAAGAGAAATTGTTGAACTGGATAATAAAAGAGTAAACTTTATTAACATACACAAACTAAAAAATATAAAACTAAAAAAATATAAACTGTATGCATTTTAAATATTTTCAAACACATTAAGCAAATAAAAATAATTAGAACTTTTTAAAAGACCAAAAAGTTTTAAAAAATCTAAAATATTCTAGAAAACGAAAAAATACTCCGTACATAAAAAATATAAATTTAAGAAAAATGTAAAATAAAGCAAAAAAAAACAAAAAAAAACTATAAATTTTCAGAAAGATACAAAAAATTTAAACAGTTTAAGCTAATGTTGAAAAAATGTATATTTTCTAAAAAAAAGTGAAAGTTAAGATAAAAGAAATACTAAAAGAATTTAAAACCTGAAAAAATATCAAAGATTATGAATTGTGTGATTTGAAAACGTTCTAAAAGGCTCTCAAGTAAATCTATGAGATTTTATTACATTTAAAAAATCAAAATAATGTTTTAAGAAAATTATTAGAATAAAAGACAGTAAATTAAAGGCAATTAAAAAGTGTATAAATGTTAATAAATTAAAGTAGAAATGTGAAGAAATACAATAAAAAAGGTGAAAAACTACAATAACGAAAATGACTTTATTATTTGAAAAACTTATAATTATGAAATACTCATACATTTTAGTTATTATTATTATTATCTTACTTTTGTTGCATATTTTTCTTTGTGTTTCTTTTTGTTGATAATTTTTTTTTTGTTTCTTCATGTTTCTTTTTGTTT